GTATGGAAAAATCAGAATATTCAACACGGATACAAATCAAGAGGAATATAAGTAAATGTCTTTTCTTTTTCCGAATTTAGCGTTTCGTTATTGTTTCACGATATTAGACATACACCCTTTTATACTTTAGAGAAGGTTTATTATGCTCGGCAACTCGTATAACAAAGCCATGTACATTCGTTAATGACCCTCTACCATTCTGTATAATTCTGATTTTTAAATTAGATTTTAAAATTCCAAATACCGTTTCAATGTCCATTTCAGCATATCATATTTTTTCAAGGAACAGCGGACAGAGTATCAGTATACGTAGTCGTTTCACAGAATTCAAGAAATCGAAAAAAATCTTTCTGAGATTTTCAAAAGCTTCATAGTTCTAAAATTTCATATCTGTTTTCAACAGTTTTTTGTATTATGATAATTTTTAATTTTCTAAAAACCTGGCGTAAAATCTTGGACTTCGTCAATCCTACCACTAAATATACCTTCAGCTGTGTCTCATTTTGTAGAGGGCGGCCAGTTCGTAAATCCTTGAGCTTTTTTAAAATCTTTTTCATCTTGCTGACTGATTAAGTACTATAAAAGAAACCTGAATTCGACGTCACAGATGTGGCGTTTTATAGCTTCTCCCTATTATTCGTATAGCGTTCCTTTTTTACGCTTTGCAGAAAAACATTCAATGTGCTTTTTATCGATGCTGAAGCATTGGACTCATATGGATTTTAGACTGGATCCTTGGAGAATCAGTCGCTGAAGACCCACCTTAAAATATACGATGATGAGACTTTAATCTTTTGATCTTGTAGAGCATCTGAAGTTATCTGCACGAAATAATCTTCAGATCTAAGTTCTGTTTCAGCTGAGTTCAGGACATTTTACGTTCCGCTTTACTCCAAAGTTTGGACTTGTCACCTTTTTCTAGAATAAAATTCTTCTTCTCTGGAGTCTCTGATTCATCAATATCAATCATGAATGTCAGTATACTTGTTGTCTAGTTTCTACCGATTTGAGCGTAATGCTATTAGCCGCGATTACTGAATCGACTATATTTTCCTATGTTTCATATCCTGAGTTATTTGGTCGAAGGGGTAATTAACAAAGAAGAGTCATACTCTCTACTTTTGCCACGAAAATGTCAAAGATCAACCACACGTCAATGGTGAAAATTGTTGTAAAAAGTGGCATGGTCAAATTACAAGGTCATGGCCTTTCAATATGGATCTTATAGCATTGACTAAGTGGCGGCGTTCTATTCTGAGGAGAGATTTACTCGTCGACCAATTAGTCGACGACCCAGATAGTGAAGCATACGCTTATCTCATACTAACGGATGTAATTTTATATTCTTAGAAATCTTCAACTCTCATTATGAGAAATATAGATATATGTGCTATTCAACGTTGCACAATTTCCGCAAGCAAATTTTATCGGTTTTGTGTTTTAGAACAATATTGTTGTGTATTATACCATTCATGCTTTATATGTTCCAAAATGTTTAGTAGATGGTCTGGTGTAACAAAAAAAATTACATCTATCGTAGTGGTAATGTAAATGGTAAGAAAACAATTCATACAATAGTAATGGCATGGTAAATGGTAACAGGGCTCTAGTAATCGTCCCAATTGTTTTACACTTTTTGCTGAAGCTAACTGTGAAACGAAGTTAAATCTTTCTGTCCTACCATTCATTTGTGGATGATAAGTGATAGAGTAAATGTAGTTATAATCGATCAAATATGATAAGGCTTCCATCAATTTTTGAAAATGAGGACCACAATCAGATAATATTCTATATATGGCTAACGTTTGACTCAGAATGAGAGAAAATGAATAACGTTATTCGCTTTTCTTCCACACCTTTCACCTTCCTTGAAGAATGAAAGTGAAAGTTGCATTTTATATCGAAAACGTATCGATACATTTCACTCGATATGTGAAACGGTTAACGTTTAGGCAGACAAAAAAGAAAACATATATTAAATGAATGCCAAACACCATTTATGTTGACTGATGATGTAAGAGAGTCTTACGGTCAGAAAAGGTTGAGAAAACACGATCAAAATTCGATAGTAGTTTCTATATACCTAGATGTCAGAAGTTGTCAGATCCGATTTATCTCCTTATACGAACATCGTCTTTTATCTATAGCTATGTTTGTTCGAGCCAGTTCTACTACGAATAGTCTTTTTATATTGCTTGTCGAAATAATAACATTGAATTGGTCAAAGATGAGAAAGCGAAGATACAAAGAACACAGGAGTTTTAATAAATATAATATAATAACGTTTCTTTTTCTTCAACGAATAATAAATATTTTTCTGATTTGACTCTCATGAAAGAACGAAAATAGACGTCTCTTATCAATGACAAACAAGAGGTGAATGACAGAATTAACCTCAAAAAACTACTTCACCTCTAACTTACTTCATCATGGCGGAAAGGGACGCTGATTATGCATCACAGGCACTGCCAGGCATTCCAAATGAAATTTTACTTCAAATCTTATCTTATTTATCATTTCGAACGATTCTGTATGCTCGAGCTGTTTCTCGCTCATGGCGTTTCCTCATCCCACAAGCAATTAGTCCATTGTACCAAACACTTCTTTCAAAATATTTATCAAGTTCCATTCCAATTCACCTACCAGAATACCTTCAAGTCACAATCGATCAACGAAAAGCCTTCGTGGAGCATATTGAAACTACTTACAGCATACGACTCCCGAATGAATTTCGCACGACTTTTTTAGAATGGCCATCCAGATATCCACTTCCAGGAAGTCAATGGCCTGATACATTGTGTTGGTACACGAATAAACAGTGCACACGGTGTTCATTGGGAAACGAACTATGTACCTGCTATCATCCTGAGTTGGTCGGTGACTATGACATAACACTAACACGGTCTGTATTTTCATCAATTATCAATAATCAACCAATTCTAATATCTGATGAACATTCATTTGCATGGGAACTTTTCGATAATCCACCACGAATGTCTGGCGAACATAGTGAGAAACAAACAAAAAGAATGATTCGTTTGTATGCCGATACAATGAAACAACGGCCAAATTCATCTCTTTGGGTGTCATTATACATAAAATGTTTGCCGTTATGTCTGTATAATACCGAAGAAGATGGAGAAGGGTGGTTTTGTTTGGTATTAGGGGGCAAGGCAAAAGGTGAGATACATGGATGGAAAGCTGGATGGTATGACGGATGGGAAGCAAATTCATTTCTTGAATTCCGTCCAATAATCATACCTGCTTGAGAAGTTCATTTTCTTTCAGCTTGTAGTAAAAAATGACTAACAAGAACATGTTCTGTTATATGAACGAAACAAAAGAAGTCACTCTGTTTTTTATTGCATTTTTTTTTGAAACAAAAAATAGTATGTGATACAATACTTAAAAGATAAATAAATAAGAAGGATTTTTTCTTTTGAAAAATAATATTATTTTACTTTGATATTTAATAAAATACTATGTACATCAGAAAAACATCACGCGCAAGGATAAGTGGCTGTGAAGATGGAAAAATAATTATTTTTGGACATGCTGGTGGTGGTTGAGTAAGACGACACTGATAAGGAGAAACTGAAAAAGCTTATTAAATCCTAATATGCAAGCTAGAAATTGCCAACATGAGTTATTGGTGCACAGTGGGCATTTTTCCATAGAGCAGGTGGACATCTCGTTTTTTTGAGTTAAAAAATGATTATTTTCGCATAATATGGTGTTGTTACGCGTCAGATTTTAATAAAAGTAAAAAACTCTACTAAAAATACTAGATGGAAGCAAATAAATAGAAACAACGAGCAGTACAGCGACGGAATGAGTAAAGTTAACACCCCGAATTTCACTTGTGATCCTGTATCAGAACTCCTTGTGCTAGTCTGCTTGTCTTTTATACTTTCAATTTGATGTAACTTACATGGAAATGAATAACTGATAAAGACGAGGTGAGAAAATGAATTATTTATGTTCATTCTTCGAAAGCCTTGAAAATGAAATATTAATTATAACACTGTGTATGACTTCTTTCTTCATCTCAAAACGAGGTCAGAAACAAGATCGTATTTATTAGTAAAATTCTTGTATTAGTAGGGATGTCACTTTACTTTACTTTACCAAGTGACAACTAATAAAACTTATTGGTATTCATCAGGAAACAAGTACTGAATCTTTATTTTATTACGCATTACTTTTTCAAGTGGTAATCTTTTATTACTTTACTTATTATACCAATAGGAAGAAAAGTAATAAAAAGTAACAAGTAAAACAATAAAAAATATTACATAAAGAACTAATAAGTAGCAAATGCTTATTACTTTTACCGGATAAAATAATAATTAGTAAAAGTAAAATAGCATCCCTATTTATTAACAAAGGCAGAAAGATAAAAAAACATGTTTCTATGACTCTGCATTAGATTGATATTACTATAATTCTGTGCCCTTACCTTTATAAGAAAAATAGTTTTATTCGTTTGAACTGAAATGGGCCGCTTTTCAATACGTTGTTCATAGTTCCATAATACAAGAGGATGAAAAAAATTAAGGATCCCGATGTTTGAGCGACTCCGACAAGCGCATCTCTTAATTCACTTAAAGGAAACTTTTATTTTTTTTTAAAAAACTTTAAGTTTTTAATCGTTAGAAAAAAAAACTGTTCCACTTATTCCCCGCAGTATTTCATAGGGAACAACTTTTGTTCCAACAGTTTTTATGAACTATGCTTTGCGTGCAGAATCCGTGACAAGATTTTGAGACTCGTATTCCTGCAACAAGGGCTTCCGAAACCCCCAGTAATTATTATCATAATCAGGAATTTTTAATTGTAATATAGTGGCTAGATAGACCAAAGTGTTCTCTACAATTCTGCGCAAGGCCGAGCTCTCCATCTGTTGTGGTTCTCGAATGGCAGACATTTAGCCGACGAAATGATAATGAATTACGAGTGACTCCGGAAAATGACTCCCATCCGAGAACCACAACAGATAGAGAGGTCGACCTTGCGCAGAATTGTAGAGAACACTTTGGTCTGTCTAGCCACTATGTTACAACTAAAAATTCACCGCAGGTTCAGAATCTGGCAACCCCATCGCTATTCATCAGTCACGTACACCAACTGAAAAACCGAGATTTTTGGTGCACAATATATGTAAAGATAGAGTAAAGACTTCTCTACAAAATGCTGAAAATCTGAACTCTCTATTTCTTTTTGTTCTTGAGTTATTCAAAAAACATTCATGGTGCAGCTCTATACAGAAATTCATAGTAGAAACTCCGTTTACCTAAAACCGAGTACAAATAACTGCTTATCGGTAACATTTTGAAAAGGCAAATACAGGAATTTGTAGCGCTTGAAAATCTCTGTCGAATGACGTATTATCACTTTACCGTTTCCAATAAACCGTTAAGTTGCAAATAAAAGTGTAATGCACCAGAGTAATATTAATTAGTATTCATTAGCATTGATTAATTATAAATTATTGTCTTAAAAAGATTTTTTTAAAACTGTTTTCATCAAACGATAACAACAAACCACTGGCTATTAAGCAATGCATGAATGACTTTTCTAGGATTATTTTTCACTGACGATGAGCTACAAGTCTGTTAAAATGAGAAGTAGTACCTTAAATTTTAGGGTGAGTCTATTGACACCACTATGAGGTGTCACCAAGGGCTATTAACACCACCGTCAGATATGTCAACCAGCGTTATTGACACCTACTGGAGGTGCCACTAAGAGCTATTGATACCTTCAACCTCTAGTGCATGAAATAAAGCTGGCACCGGTTACGTACACTTATGCCCGACTTTTACGGTTAAATTTACTTCTGAGCGCAATCACCCATTGTTGACCTATTCTGTTACCGTATTCCTGTTAATTGTTAGTAGTGGGTTACCCGGGTGAATGTACTTGCATACAAGTGCTTGCCCAAGTTTTGTCCAACGTACGTTTACTTGGCTTTTTTTGCAAGTAAATAAATTACTTGAATTACTTGACCTGTTTGTCAAGTACTTGGCTAAGTATCTGGAGGAGTGTCCAAGGACTGAGAAGTAGAAATTCTCCGAATTTATGCTAATACAATACAAATATATATAATTCCTCAAGGACTTGAGAAATGACCATCGTGCACTTCGCAGATCCTCGAAATTTCCTCGATAATTCCCCGCTAGGCATTTACGTGACAAGGAAATGAGATAAATATTACATCCACAATTCCTTCCCATACTTAGGGAACGGTTCAAAATGTATTCCGGTCGGTCGGTCGCTATTCCTCTATTCCGCTCTTCCTCTATTCCCCAATTATTTCTCTATTATAGAATTTAAATTCTAATTTATTTTATTTTATTTTGTATAGTTCGGTTTCTTTGATTGTATTGTTGATACATATATCGGC